TCCGGTACCAACCCATATTTATATGGTCGGTAGTCCGCTTATGTAAATTAGGTGTATCATACACAACAATATATATATATATATTAATTGATTTAAAATATGTTTTTTTCCGCTACACAGTTCTAATCATGTTTCAAAAATGGAAGCTAAAAGCCCCGAATTTAATTTTGCAATTAAATTAAAAACATTAGTTCCATTTCATCCTCAAGCGAATTTTGGGGTAACTTTTAAAATTACTGGGTTTTAAAGACACAGCTAAAATCACGTTTCCATGGTTACAGATAAATCTACTTCAACTGGACAAGGGGTCTCTGGGTTTTCCTTATGTCTGTATTATTGTATCAGTCATTAGCTCTATTTTGGTAAGGGGTAGGGATGTATTTTTCAATGAAAACTGACATCCGTTGAATGCATGTCGTTTGGATTTTTTTTTAAATTTATTGTTAACGGCAAAAAAATTCTTACGGCATTTTTTTCTATTTGTAAATTTAAAGATTTTCGCGGGTTTTCAGATTAGAATACTTTTTATTTAACTACGATTTGAAATATTCTCATTTTTAATTTTTATTATACTATATTTTTTTAAGAACAGTTAATTGTATTAGAATCCCTTATATTATGTAGGATTATTTTTACATCAAGTATAAGTATGTATATTAGGTTACATTTTTTATTTTATTTTATTTTTTTTTACTAGTAATATATTGTTTCTCATGTAAGTACAAAGGACATGTGTCATTCAAAAGCTTACATCTTCTGGCATTTCATATTAATTTTATTTTACTATAGGTGTTTTATTGGATTCTTTTAAGTGCGTGTAGTACTAAGTAAAATAAGTTTAGGTTAGAAATCATTTTATTTAACTACAATTTTAATTACAACTTTAAAATATTTTCTTTGTTAGTTTTAATAGACTATATTACTTTATAACAGAAGGAAATGTATTTGAAATTACTTATAGTAAGTAAAATTATTTTTCCATATCAAAGTATATGTATATTACGATTTTTAAACTTTTATATTTAAATATTATTTAAGTAATATTCATTGCACTTACTGCAAAACTAGCTAATTCATTTCTCAGATTTAGTAAACTTTATTTATTAATTAATTAATTTATTTATTTTAAATATATATAAACTTAGTAATAAAGTTTCATATGTATGTACAAAGGACTAAAAGAATCCAATAAAACACCTATAGTAAAATAAAATTAATATGAAATGCCAGAAGATGTAAGCTTTTGAATGACCCATGTCCTTTGTACTTACATGAGAAACAATATATTACTAGGTTTATATATATATAAAAAATAAAAGTTTACTGAATCAGTGAAATTAAGTAACTATTTTTGACGTCATTGTCATAAATTTTACTTAAATAATATAAAAAAATAAAAAAAAAATAAAATAAAATAAAAAATGTAACCTAATATACATACTTTACTTGAGGTAAAATAATCCTACATAATATAAGGGATTCTTATACATTTAACTGTTCTTAAAAAAATATAGTATAACAAAAATTAAAAATGAGAATATTTCAAATCGTAGTTAAATAAAAAGTATTCTAATCTGAACACCCGCGAAAATCTTTAAATTTACAAATAGAAAAAAAAGCCGTTAGAATTTTTTTGCTGTTAACAATAAATTTAAAAAAAAATCCAGACGACATGCATTCAACGGATGTCAGTTTTCATTGAAAAATACATCCCTACCCCTTACCAAAATGTAGCTAATAACCGATACAATGATACAGACATAAGGAAAACCCAGAGACCCCTTGTCCAGTTGAAGTAGATTTATCTGTAACCATGGAAACGTGATTTTAGCTGTGTCTCTAAAACCCAGTAATTATAAAAGTTACTCCAAAATTTGCTTGAGGATGAAATGGAACTAATGTCTTTAATTTAATTGCAAAATTAAATTCTTGGCTTTTAGCTTCCATTTTTGAAACATGGTTTGAACTGTGTAGCGGAAAAACATATTTTAAATCAATTAATTTATAATATTAATGCTTTGTAAATTTACTTCGAGCACTATTTTGTAAAAATAAAAATACCTATAAGACCACCGGATTATACATCTTACTGTTCTTTTCTTTTTATATATATATATATATATATATATATATATATATATATATATATATATATATATATATATGATCGCTTATCCACACACTTGAAATAATTTTTAAGAGGTATTTTCAACATCAACTAATTATAAATATGTTATTTCAAAGTAAGTGTATATGCTGAAATGTTGCAATTTATAGCCATAAAGCAAAGTATTTCTGAGTAAATCTTTTGAAATTAAATTAAACCGGCATTAGTTTTTCATTAACATTTGATTATCATTTTACTGAATTGATATTTTTTTTCGTATTCGACTTTATTTGCCTCGAAGACCGTCATCTATTATTCATATACAACTTTGCAAGAATTTGTCGTTAGCAGTTTACACAATTCGTTTTTTATTTAAGCATACGTATGTTGATAGAAACTATAATTAATAGAACAGTAACGGTCTGATAAAGTATGTATTGAAAATTCCGTTAAATCCAGACTTGATTTATATTGAGTTCATCTTTTATGTGCCATATTCTTTCAGAATGTTGGTGATCATGGCTCTTCCCAATATCCTGTTCTTTGTAACGCTTAATAAATTCTAAACCTTGCTCCGCCATCCACTCACTCAATATCTCTATGTAGGCTATACGATGTCCATTTTGGCTTCATTCTATTCTGTGAATACCAAATTTTCCAAAGCTTCTTTGTTCATTGTGTGCCCTAAAAATTTCAACTGCCTCTTCTTGATGTTAAGAATAAGTGTTCTTTTTTTTTTTTTTTACATTTTCTCTAAAGCATTATCGTTTTCACATGTTTGGAAACAACATTTCTGTTGCTACAAATCTCATCTTAATGTCGCTAATGTCCTTAATTGTCCAGTATTAGTTGCCATGTAGGATGACTGATATTTCATAACATTTCAGTAGTGTTTTCTTTGTTTCTAACGATTTTTTAGTTTCGGTGTGGCACTTTCTATCCCCGTTAAAACGTTTTAAATTGTTATACTTGTTTGATTTTGTTGTTTCCAATTTGTAATTTGCATGTTGGGCTGTTCCTTTTGTTAACAACCCTGCATTTTGTCTTCTTGAAATTTGATGTTTAGTCCGTTCTTCTCGCCTTTTTTCATTAACTTCTGTAAGCGTTCTTGTAGTTTCCTTTCTGTGTCTGCTATCGACACTGTGTCATCTGCATAGCTTATGTTGTGGCCGCCAATAATAAATCCTGGTAGAACTTCTAATTCTCTCAGAATGGCCTCGCTGTATGGGTGTAAAAAGTCTCACTTTGTATCAATCACTGCCTCTATCTCTGTATTTCCCATTCTCTTTTTGTTTATATAATCTATATAATAAAGACGATTGTATCAACGTTTTTCAATTAAAGGGACACAACTCTCTAACCTTTTATTTTAGTATATTTACTAAACTCATAATTAACTTAATTTCTTTTAATTTCTTTATGAAAACTGTTCTCAAACGACAATCTACGATACTTGAAAATTTGTCACCACGTTAAACTTAGTAAATAGCAATAAATATATAAAGATCTAAACGTAATTATTTGATGCGTCTGGGATTAGAGTAATGCTTTGCAAAGTGGGCATGTAGATCCATCTTAATGGAAAATACATTCGATGCGCACTGAGTGGTCTATAGTATCTATAAATCGCTATAAATGGAAAATGGAAATAAAAGCGTGTTTATACTTAGAATCAGAAAGAGACAAATGTCTTAGACATAATGAGGAAAGAGGGCTTGGAGGATTTGACGCTCACAAGACATACTGAAGGTAGAAGGGGGACAGGAAAGCCGCCAACGGACTTGTGTAAATGGAGGGCAGAAGAAGGATTTGGAGGGATAGCAAAAAGATTAAACTTGCTAAGAAGTACAAAGGTTAGGAACGTGTGCTATAATCGCTCATGTCCCGAAGGAAGAAGAAGAAGAAGAAGAAGAAGAAGAAGAAGAAGAAGAAGAAGAAGAAAGAAGAAGAAGAGGTGGCGTTGGAGGAGGAGGAGGAGGAGGAGAAGAAGAAGAAGAGGTGGCGGTGAAGAAGAAGAAGAAGAAGAGGAGAAGAAGAAGAAGAAGAAGAAGAAGAAGAAGAAGAAGAAGAAGAGGTGGTGGTAGAGGAAAAGAAGAAGAAGAAGAAGAAGAGGTGGCGTTGGAGGAGGAGGAGGAGGAGGAGGAGAAGAAGAAGAAGAAGAGGTGGCGTTGGAGGAGGAGGAGGAGGAGGAGAAGAAGAAGAAGAAGAAGAAGAAGAGGTGGCGGTGGAGAAGAAGAAGAAGAAGAAGAAGAAGAAGAAGAAGAAGAAGAAGAAGAAGATTGAGTCATTTCATTTATAAGTTTGATCAATTTTTTGCGAGTGATTTAAAAAAATAGAAAATAGAAAATATTTTTAGATTATGAGAAGTATTTGAGATAATAATGATTTTAAGATAAAAAACATTTTTGCTATTTAATTCATTGCTGGAGGTGTAAGAGATGGATTCAAGCGTATTGAACATAATGAATTTGACTGGAATCCAATTTCCAGTTCCGAGACGTTACCATTTGCACCCACCCATATCAAAGTTTACAGAACTTGGTAATCCCAAGTTCTGAATCATCTAGGTACTAATAACGCTCCTGTTTGAACACCGACGATTAATATATAGATTGATTCGTTTTCTACGGTTTATCGACCTTTTGCAGGTTATTTAAAGCCAGAAAATATTTTTAGTTTGTAAGATTTTTTTTAAAGATTTTACACGTCTTAATAATTAACCCATAGCAGGGAGAACATATGTGTCCCTATATTTCCCAAAGGTAGTTGCGCGTAAGTAAATACGACGAACCCGACTGGAATTCGAACTCGGCTCTCCTATTATCAATTCCGAGCCATTATTCATTACACCACCTGCACATCAAAGCTTATATCACCTGATATTTAAAAGTATGTACTGACCAGGCTCTACGTTGCTTAACTTCAGTGATCGTACGGGAACCGGTGTTTCAACATGATATGGCCACAGTCTTGAACACCGAAGAAAAATAAGTGCCATATATACTTGGGTAGTATAGTATAATGACTTCTCGTTTCCTTCGCCATAGTCGAGCAAGGTAGGTCTCTCCATTTATAAAAATCAATGAAGGTTTTCTGGAAAGTTCTCGATGCAATTCTCCTGCCGAAAATTAGTACAGTGTAACCCGGATATAAGAGACCCGGATATAAGAGAAACCCGGATATAAGAGAGATTTTCTCTGGTCCCAAATTAGAGCCTGTATTAATGTATATAAAATAGACCAAACCCGGATATAAAAGAAACCCGGATATAAGAGACTTCTTCTCCGGTCCCGACAACTCTCTTAAATCCGGGTTACACTGTATTTTGAAAACCGAAGATGGGAATTTTATTTGAGAGTGTTAAAGAAACTTGAAAAACAATAATGTTTAATTTCTTTCATGGCGAATTTGCAGCATAACAAGCATGTTTCGTGGCCCGAACATCATTTCTTTTAGTCGTATCGGGAAATTTTCAGCACCCCCTGCCCACCTCATCGATTTCTCTCTTCCTATAAAAATTCGAGCAGACAAAATAGAACACCCTTCAAAGGTTACGTAGAATCGCTTTTGTGATCAATTCGAATTCAGCGCTTGTTCAACGCTATCTCAACACCTTGCTTTTATCACATGAAAGCAGGTGTTGAATCTCAATGTGCAATCAAACGTGTCTCGGACAAACAAAATATCGACTTGTTGCTATCAAAAGAAATTTAATCTCTGTATGTCAACAAAGATTCAAATTTTGGTGCGAGTGATCGAATCGGCGTTTCTTGTGTTGTCAAAAAGAAGAAAGAAAAAAAAATGCAGATGAGAAAGTGAAATATTGCAACGACAAGGAAAGAAGCAAATGTCGTTTTGCCCGTGGAGCTCAACAAAAGTTCTGCAGGTGATATCTCTAAAGAAAAAAAAAAGGTTCTATTTTATCTGTTATGTCTCAGATTGATAATTTTTTGACATGAAAGAAAAACGATAACAAGAAACTTTAATAAATAGGTACACCTGTTCGATGATCTGCCTTTAATCTTTCAAAAGACTTTCTGGCTTTTTTCCTCTCTGCGTCTATTCCTCTACGCCACTTACGATTTGCCTTCCTGTTTGTTTCTCTGCCTTTCTCTCTCTCTTTCTCTCTCTCACTCTCTCTTTCAATTTGTCTCAATGTTTTCATTGTGTCAGTCGATCTCTCTTTATCGCTCTGTCACCTTTCTCTTATAATCTTTTTCTCTTATATAATTTTTTCTTTTCTCTTTGTCAAACGCTTTCTCTCTCAGTTTGACTCGTTCTCTGTATATCTTTCATTTAATTTCTTTGGCCATCACTATATTCCTCACTATCCTGATCTCTCACTGCGTCTCCTTTTCTCTCATGTCTCTTTTTCTGCCTCCTCTATTCTCATTCTCTCTCTCTCTCTCTCTCTCTTACTATGTCTCACCTTGTATCACTTACTGCCTCTATCTTTGTATTCCCCTCATCTTTTTGTTTATATAATCTGTATAATAAAGGCGATTGTATCACCCTTTTTCAATTAAAGGGGCACATCTCTCCAAATTTCAATAGTTCATCTTCTTCATCTATATAATACATGAGAATGTCAGTGTGTCACATTTTTTCAACTTTACTTCTAGAGGCCGTAGATGTCATACCATTTTGGAATCCGACTGACTCCGTGAGTAAATTAAAAAGATTCCGGGTCGGATCCAGACCCGCAATCCTAAAATTTTGGATTCCCAAATTTTCATTACTGCGATTGTTTTCGGTGATTTTTTTTTTTTTTTTTTTTTTGTGATTTTTTTTTGTACGATAACAATTTTTATAACTTGGAAATAAATTTGGGAATAATTTAAATTAATTGAGAAATCCAGCGAAAGTCACCCATGAAATAAAAAATAATTGTTTGTACGAAAAGTAAGGACCTACGTACATCAAATTGCTTTTAAATTGTGGCGACAGAAGATTTATCGTTGAACTTTTAAAAGGATATACTTAAATGCAGCGATCGATTTTGAGTTCTTCTGTAAATTATTGTTGCTTATCGCATCTTTTCCTTCCAACCTATTGTGATGAAGGCCCAATCAAGATGGAGCTTAATGCCGCTCAATATGACGGCTTTTAAGCTAGTTCATTATATATCTCTCTCATTTTCTGTATCTCTTGCAATATATTTCTCTTCTTGTTTACGCTCTGTGCTTGCCCTTTTCTCTCCCTGGCTCTATTTCCGTCTGTATTATATCTTCTGTCTTTTTCTCCCTCTGAATATGTCTCTCCCTCCCTGTTTCTTTCTCATTATGCCTGTAAATCTCTCGCAATTTGGTCTTATCCTTCTATTTCTGTTTACTTCTTTTTCCTTCTTCATTTCTGATCTAATTCACAAGATCTTTGTTATTTAAGAACTTTATAAGTATATTCTGACAAAGTTCATAAGCGTAACACATTCAGTGAACTTGGAACTCAATTCTGCTGTACGAAGAATTTACATGAACAGCTTTCTAAACGTTTGCGCTATGTCAATGCATTCCACATGATTAAATATTTCTTCCTCCCTCTTTAAACTTTTCTTTTTTTTTTCTTTCTTTCTTTTTTCTTTCTTTCTTTTTTCTTTCTTTCTTCCTACTTTGTTTCTTTCTTTCTCTACTTTTTTCTTTGTCTCACGTTTTCTCTCCCTGTCTGCCTCTTTCTCTGTACGTCTTTTACTTAGTTTCTTTTGTCTCTCACTATTTCCCCCGCTCTCTCTTTGATGTCTTTTGTCTCTCTATCTCTTTCTTTTAGCCTGGCATTATTTCTAACTGAAAGTAATTAAGCAGACATGTTAATTCATAAGCATTGGTTGGGTATGAGTCTTCTTTGAAAGAATTTAATGCAGCAATATTTGGTCTTCACAGGTTAGAATGAAATAAATCAATTGATCCTTTTTAATCGAAGTTGTTCTATTGATTCCCTTTGATGCCCGTTACGGGATTATCTTCACTTTTTAAGGGAAAGTCACTGATGTATGTCATATTTTTCTAAAAATGTTCGGGAAAGATTTTGATTTTCAATGAACAGATACTTTAAATAAAAACATGGAATTGTTAGTCGTTTTTATGTGCCGTATCCTTTCAATACGTTGGCGATAATGGCCATCCACATCTTTCCTTTCCTTGTAGCTTTTAATAAGTTTTGTCTTTGTTATTTCTCTGAAACCCTGTTCTACCATACATTTACTCAAGCTCATCAAATATGTTACGCGTTGCTTTCCTCCGACCGTCTTACATTCTAATCTAACTTGTGTGTATGAAATTTTTCAAGCCCACTTTCCTCATTACGTGACCCCAAAATTCCAATTGCCTCTTCCTGATGTTAAATATAAGTTTCTTTTTTATTTCCACTTTCTTCAAAATCTCTTCGTTGCTCACATGTTCGGTTCATGGTATCCTCAGCATCCTTCTGTAGAAATTTCAACTGTCTCTTCCTGATGTTATGTATAAGTTTCCATTTTGTTTCCATTTTCTCTAAAACCTCGTTGTTGCTCACATATTCGGTCCCTGGTATCCTCAGCATCCTTCTGTAGAAATTTCAACTGTCTCTTCCTGATGTTAAGTATAAGTTTCCATTTTGTTTCCATTTTCTCTAAAACCTCGTTGTTGCTCACATATTCGGTCCCTGGTATCCTCAGCATCCTTCTGTAGAAATTTCAACTGTCTCTTCCTGATGTTAATTATAAGTTTCCTTTTTGTTTCCATTTTCTCTAAAACCACGTCGTTGCTCAAATGTTCGGTCTATGGTATCCTCAGCATCCTTCTGTAGAAATTTCAACAGTCTCTTCCTGATGTTAAGTATAAGTTTCCGTTTTGTTTCCATTTTCTCTAAAACCTCGTCGTTGCTAACATGTTCGGTCCATGGTATCCTCAGCATCCTTCTGTAGAAATTTCAACTGTCTTTTCCTGATGTTATATAATCTCTTCCTTTTTTGTTTTCCATTTTCTAAAACCTCGTCGTTGCTCACATGTTCGGTCCATGGTATCCTCAGCATCCTTCTGTAGAAGTTTCGTTTTGTTTCCATTTTTCTAAAAACGTCATTGCTCACATGTTCCTGATCCTCAGTTAGAAATTTCAAGTTTCCTGATGTTTTGTTTCCTTTTTTTTTTTCTAAAACCTCGTCGTTGCTCACATGTTCGGTCCATGGTATCCTCAGCATCCTTCTGTAGAAATTTCCAAGTTTCCTTTTGTTTCTCTTCCTGATGTTAAGCATCCTTCTGTAGAAATAAGTTTCCTTTTTGTTTCCATTTTCTCTAAAACCACGTCGTTGCTCAAATGTTCGGTCTATGGTATCCTCAGGATCCTTCTGTAGAAATTTCAACTTTCTCTTCCTGATGTTAAGTATAAGTTTCCGTTTTGTTTCCATTTTCTCTAAAACCTCGTCGTTGCTAACATGTTCGGTCCATGGTATCCTCAGCATCCTTCTGTAGAAATTTCAACTCTCTCTTCCTGATGTTAAGCATAAGTTTCCTTTTTGTTTCCATTTTCTCTAAAACCTCGTCGTTGCTCACATGTTCGGTCCATGATATCCTCAGCTTCTTTCTGTAGAAATTTCAACTGTCTCTTCCTGATGTTAAGTATAAGTTTCCTTTTTGTTTCCATTTTCTCTAAAACCACGTCGTTGCTCAAATGTTCGGTCTATGGTATCCTCAGCATCCTTCTGTAGAAATTTCAACTTTCTCTTCCTGATGTTAAGTATAAGTTTCCGTTTTGTTTCCATTTTCTCTAAAACCTCTTCGTTGCTCACATGTTCGGTCCATGGTATCCTCAGCATCCTTCTGTAGAAATTTCAACTGTCTCTTCCTGATGTTAAGTATAAGTTTCCTTCTTGTTTCCATTTTCTTCCAAACTTCGTTCGTTCCATGGTATCCTCAGTATCTTAATTATTCGATTTAATACTGATATCATTTCTGCTCATTTAAAACAACTATACATACTCACAAGTACAGATGTTAGATATTTGAGAAGTGTTTTAAGAGAGAATGAAAAATGCAGCACCGAAACTAGAAGATGCAGTGGAATAGCAAAAGGTTAATTCCAAAAGTTCAGCAAAGTTCTAGGTAACTTGGAAACAAATAAAAAATTGTTAAACTACTATGTAATATCAACCTTCTATGTAATATCAACCAGCATTCACTGCCATATATGGCAGTGAATGCTGGACAATTTCCTCACAAATAAAAAGAAGAATTTTACAGATTTTTAAAAGAATTTTATTGAACCAGATTTATTTATTTTCAAATCAGTTTTGTAAATAAATTTTACAAAGTCACTTTTTAAAATTAATTTATAGAATCAATTTTATCAGATTCTATAGAATACGTTATGTTATAAAATTCATGAAAGCAGCAATACCAAACTTTTCTATAGAGTCAGGTTTTAAAGTATTCGACAAAATCTATTTAGTTAAATAATTTTTTAGAAACAAATTTTGTCAAAGAATTCTACAGGAATAGAATTATCAAATAGATTTACAGATCAGTTCTGTTAAAGAATTTTGGAGGAACAGTTGTTTCAAAATATTCCTGTTTAGACAATTCCATTTAGAGAATTAGTTTTGACAGGAATTTTACAAAATATGTTTCGTGAAATAATTTTAAAAGATCAGTTTATTTTTTCCATAAAAATTCTTTGAATAATATTACAAAAGTTTTTTTCTTTAATTCAAAGTTCTATTTCATGAATAAGATTTTGAATTACAAAATTTCTAATCTAGGAATAAAATAGTGAATTACTGTAAAAATCAGAAAAAAAAAACTACGATAAAAATGCTTCACTAACCAAACAGATTTTTGATGCATTTTAAGTAAACTTTGATAAGTCATTTTGTTGATTGTAGTTTTAATGACTTCGGCAATCTTAGTTCAACAAAAATATATTTCATGTAAATATTTCAACGATTCACAATTTTTTTTCATTTTGGCTTCGGTAATTCTTTCTTCTTTCAAAAAGTCAATATCTCGAAGAAAACAAAGCAAAATTAATCATTTGAAGAAAAAAGAAAGTCAACAAAATGGATTCCATTAGTAATTGAATTAAAATATTTAAATTCAATGTCAAACTGCAAACCAGTATAATAGCCCGTGTTTGATGTTACACTGGTCCGTTAGAGAGAAGCAGAGTTGATTTTAAAATAGCTATTTAAAGAACTCGAATTGTATAAATTAAAAAGGAGAATCTTGATTTATTTCTTCATTTCACTTCTTTCTTACTGTTTACCTGTAAACAATTTCTCTATATTTATCTAAGGCTTTCTTTGCAATCATTTTATTCCAAGCAAGGCAATAAAGTCAGTAAGACAGAATATGTTACTGAGTCTAAGAGAAAATGAGAAAAACACCATTAAGGAGAGAGGACAATAAAAGAAGAGAAATTACTAAGACAGAAGATAACGATTGACATTGCAGAATAAATTTTAAAAATAAATAGTCTCTTAAATTTTGTGCGGTTATTAACACAAAAATGAAATCGAGGAACGAATTTTATATTCTGAGCAAGTCACATGCATTCAATTGAGAAATGCATGTCTCTATCTATTCTCCGACCAGCTTTGAGTTAAATAATAAATTGGTCTCTTTAGCCTTGAGAAGGAACAACAAGAGAAGAAAAACTCAATTCAAAATAGTAGAGAAGGAAAAGGGAAACAGTCCGCTAACTTTCCCATGAATGTATGTCAATTCAAAGATAATAAAATAAAAGAAGTATGGGAGAGCCATAACCGCCTGCGTCATAGAGGGACATGGCATTTTAAGTGAGAGAGTGAATCTATTAAAATTAAACATTGTTTTGAACCGGAAATCAACCAACAAAAACGACTTAATAAATTTATATTCTCATCATAACAACAAAATAAAAGTCCGATATAATCATTGGATTCAACTTAAGAGCACTCAGAATTTGCAGCCCTTAATATTTACATGAAGAGGAGAAATATATTGAAAATAAATACTTTCATGCTTCTTCAGTACCCTAATTATTTTATATAAAAAAAATATTATCCTACCAACTATCACATCTACAATTGGAAAGAATCTATCTAAACTCAACATAAAATTGTTACTACTACATCGAATGCAGTAAAAGACAAAATACTAAGCAAAACAATAAGCTAAAATTTGAAGGAGGAATTTACTCGATTGCCTGTAATAATTGTCCCAAAAATACATGAGAAATCTCAAAGAATTTAAATGGAAGATTATATAAACGCAAAACGGGACACCGAAACGAGACTGACCACAATTCTGACATAAAAGAAATCTACTCTGATCAAAGGAGAAAACAATTCACAACGACAAAAATACCTACAGAGTGTCCAGATCACAATGTCATCTGAAGTAAAATTGC